TATTTCAAAACCTAAAATGTTAAAGTGACAATTTAAGAAAATATTATGAATTAAATTGATAAAAATTAAACTTTAAATTAAATAAATTTGCGGGATTTAAAGTTTCATTATCTCTTTAAAAATGAAAATATACCTTATTCTAAAATTCATTACCCCATGGATATTAAATGTATGAACATCAACTTATTTTAGTTTAAAATTTACTATACTGTGTAACAAATTAAAAATAAATCTCGTGCATAAAAATAAGATATTTATTTTATAAAAATTTGTTTTATTCTATAATTTTTTCCCTTGCATGTAGACCTAAATTTCAGTGCATGTAAACTTAAATTTTTATAATTTGTGAAAATTAAATTTTTAATTTTATTATAAAATTTAAATTTATATTTTTATTACAAGTTCAACATTTAAAATTTATAATAAAAAAGTCGATAGCATTGTGTGACAAAATATGTTACAATAGTTCAATCAAATTGAATAATAGTTATTGTATCACAAGTGACATTCATTAAACAGCCACATTGGCTTGAGGGAGTGTAAATGCACTCCCTCATTTTAGAAAAACTTACAAGTAGGATATATAAAATTTACAATTTTACACAGTTTATTTTTAATATTTTGCACCATCTAAATTAAATGAAAAGTATTTAAGCTAAAAAATTATTAAATATATAATATTTTTATGATTTAGATAAGATAGAAAGAATATATTTATAATAAAATACCATATCAATTTTTTTAATATAATTTTTTAAAATAAAAAATGATGATAAAATTATTTATGTTATTATAATTTTAGTCCTAGCAAAATTATTTTTTTTTTAAATATTTATTTTTTATTAAATTATTTCACTTCCCATGACTTAGGGTTCTAGCTTATTGCTGTCATTAAATGATAGAATTTACTTTAGTCATTAAATCTAAATTTGATGTATCTCATAAAATCACTCTAGTTCTATCATAATCCATTAACAAATTTTACTATTTATTTCCTCAATTTTTAAATATAAGGAAATTTTTATATGGTTTATTGTTATTTTTCATAAGAAAAAAAATTCAAAAAGTATTTATGACATTTTTCTTAATTACTTTTCATTAAATGATAGTATCATTAAATTAGGAAAAAAATAAAATGTTAATCACAAGTATATCTTAATCCAAAATTTTCAATTTCAAATATAATTATTAAGATAAACTAATTTTTTAAACAGTATGAATTGATTAAAATTTACTTATGCATAAAAGCAAACAAGAACAAGTTGATTGATTTGAATAATAAATTATTTTATTTTATAATTTATTATTTAAATTTATATGTCATGTATAATTAAGTATCTTATGCATATATGAAATACAAGTAACAAATGATAAGTCTCATATATTTACAAAGAAAATTAGATTCCATACATTTTTTTTTTTGTGAGTCTCATATCTGTTAAGCATTTTTACTATGAGGCCCATACCTATTTTTTAATTTTTATTGTGGGTCATACATTAACTATTAATATACAAAGTTTTAATTTAAAAAAAAAATTACGGTGTTGTTCATTCAATTATAGATGAACAGTATTGTAATGCACTTTATTCTATATATATATATATACATATACATATATACGTGCGCGCGATAGTTTGTAATTTTTTCACTTATTTTTAGGTTATGTGTTTTATGACTTTGTTCTGCAAAGATTTTAGGTGTCATTGGATTTAAATGTTCTCTATGTGCGTTCTTTCAAATATACCGGTCATGTTAATTTTTTTTTAATGAATTACCTTTATTCTAGGTGTTCAAGATATTGTGCAATGCATTAAAACAAATAAAGCTAAAGTTAAAAATAAAGTAATAACTTAATATAGAACATAAAACAAGAGTTGCATATTTTTAAACTAGTAAAGATTCAAGATTCCTATTTTTGTGTGTGACTATAATCTCTTAGACTTGATATTTATTATTTTTTTATTTAGCGTTGCGGGTCTTTTTAAATGAATAAGTTAAATAATCATTCATAAAATTCAATGCAAAACAAATTGATATAAAATTAACTTTTGGTCTCAACGGGAAAAAAAAAACTTTTGGATTAAATTGATTGGAACCATTTTCATTTTTTTCCAAATTAATATAAGATTAATTTTCGGCTTATTTTTTCAAATTTATTGTGAAGACAGCTTTAAATTTAATTTCTCTTAATTGTATCATAATCATAATTACAAAAAGTCTACGCAAAAATATTATGTACGTCATAAATTATTTTACTTAATAGTTAGCATAAAACATGATTCTAATATTTATAATTTTTAATTTGGAAATCACCGAATCAAACTTTACTTTATAAATATTAATATCTTGTATTAGAAAATTTAGTTTAAAATTTATTTTTACTTAATAACTTTATATTCTGAATAATTATTGAGTATTATTATTCAATTAAAATATTTTTTTTTTTTTACACTAGCACGGCCACGTATTAGTTTCAATAAATTTAGAGAAAATATAATATTTAGTTCATATAATTTTATCAATTTTGATTTTAGTTTTTGTATTTTTTTTAGTGTTTTCTGTTGTTATAGAGACTAAAAACATTGAACAAAAGAAAACTATAGGAACTTAAAAAATTAATGTCACTCAATCTTTATGAAATTATAAAAATTGAAAACATTGAAAAAGATTATAGGGATTAAAAATAAAATTTGATGATACTATAAAGATCGATAATTGTACTTTTGTTAAGGTATTGAAAATCAAACCGATCAAGATAATAAGTTAAGAGTTAGTAATCTATCGGAGATCAACTCAGAACTAGACTGATCTTAGTTAAAATGATATAATTTAGTTGATATATCTAAATATTCATATTTTTTATTATGAAAAAATGAATATTTAAAATGAGAATATTCATTTAAAGATAGAAAATTTATAATTTTTTTAAAGTAATAATTTAGTTTTTCTGAAAAATAATTTAACATATTTTATTTATTATCTCCCTTTTTTTATCACCAAAGACAGCATTTAAAAATAATAATGGGAATTGGTCGGTCTTGTTCAGTTTTTCATTCCATAACTTTCCCATAAATTTAAAATAAAAAAACATAATTTTAAATTCTTATATTTTGTTTAAATTTTATTATAAGTCATTATATTTTTTTTCAGTATTCTACCAAAAAATAAAAGTGTAGAAACTTAAAATACTAAAAAAATATAGGAATTTATAATAAAATTTGAGCAGAGTATGTTTTTTTCAAATAAATAATTTAAATCAACACCAAATTTATTAAATTGATGATTAAAATAAATTTATTTAATAAAATAAAATCAATATTCATAATTAAAAATGGAGGGAAAAGGAGGTGAAAAAGGTGGAGGACCCCCCTTCCTAAGACTAAGAGAGTGTTTGAAACTATTTTTATTTTATTATTTTAAGAATTAATATTTTATAAAATATGTTTTGAGAATAAAAAAAATAATGAAAATGAGGACTTATTTGAAAATCTGCTCTGAGAACAATTTTTTATTCTCTAAGATAAAAGAACAAAAAAAAATTTGTTTGGTAACATGCTTTTAAAAGTATTTTGGAGAATAAAAAAAAAAAATATTATTTTAAAAAATAGAAAAATAGAAACAACTTTTGTAAAATATGTTTTGAAAATAAAAAAAATGAAAATGAGGACTTATTTGAAAATTTGTTCTGGGAACAGTTTTCTATTCTCTAAGATAAAAGAACAAAAAAAAATTTGTTTGGTAACATGCTTTCAAAAGTATTTTGAAAAATAAAAAAAATAAAATATTATTTAAAAAACAAACAAATGGAAATAACTTTTAAATGTTCTATAATTATTATTCTGGAGGATAAGAGAGAATAAAAAATACTTATTTTTATTTTCAGAACATGTTCTACAAAATGTCAGTTTTTAAAACAATAAAATAAAAATAATTTTAAACAGTCTCTAAGTGTTTTTTCATTTTTCTTTGTTCTTCAAAACAATATCCCAAAATATTTAAAGTTATTTTTTTTTTCTGTTCTTTAAAATAATGTCTTATTTTTTTTATTCTCTAAAATATTTTTTAAAAATATGTTATTAAACAACTTTTTTATTTTAAAAAATAAAAAATTATTCTCAAAATAGGTTGCAAAGCACGCCCTAACTCCTTGCCTCCTGGACCGTTCACGCTTTCATCTTCTTCCCTCCCTCCAATGACGGCGATAACGGCCTCAAACGGCATTTAATACTATCTTGATTATTTTATTTATTTTGAAAAAAAAAATTATTTCTTAGATCGAAAATTGAGGAGGGTTGAGGGTTTTAGTGAAGAGGGAGAAGATACTGGATAGATCGAAGAAGCTTGAATAGCCGAAAATAAGCGAATGCTTGGGACGAGCCTTTCATTCACGACTTCTCGCCCAGGTAATGTGATCATTTTCTCCATCACAGTTGTCAATTTGTAGACCATTGCTTCATTTCAAGCTTTACTTCTGCTTGTTTCATTTGATGTGTTACCTCCACTTGGACATTCCTATCCTGAATTCCAAGTCTAACGGTATCAATCGCTTGTGTTATGTTCTGATGATAAATCCACGACGATTGAAGTCCACTTCTGTATATGTTCGATGTTTCTTAGTCGCTGCTATTCTTTCTATAATTCTGTATATGTCTAGAACGACGTTCCGTTGAACGAAGTTAATTGAGCAATCACGAACTAACTGATCGATTGGGCCCGTGGTTTCATTTCCATGGTATTGCTTAGTGCATAGAGAATCAATTCTTGTGTAAAATTAATGCAATCTACCGCGATCTCTATCTTTACTCAGATACATCTCTCGCAAACGTTACTAGGAGAAGCAATTGGATCATATGCGATGCTCACTTCGCTGCATTGGTTCTCCTTCAATCTATTATAACGAGGGAATTTTGGCAGATTCGGAGGGATTGCTTTCTTAGGGATTCATTATCTTTGTTAGTATGTGCATTACATTCTTATTTACTTTTCGGTCTCTTGTTTGCTTTTTATGCTATATTTCTCCGAAGTTTAAAGCTTGAAATGGTATATCATTCTTTACCCAAAATTGAAATGCCTTTCTTTCTTTTCTTTCTTTCTTTCTGAACACGAGGTGTTTGATTGACCTTATGTCAATATTTTTGCTATGTTGTTTAGCCGCTAGATAGAATTGTATAAATCCAATGAAGTAACGCGGAAGTATTTGCAAGTCAGTAGGGTGGGGCGGAACTATTTAAAAGATGCTGCATAACTCTTAGGTCTTCATTTAAATTGAGAGTACCTTATTTCTGTGTTGAACTAGAATAGTTAGGGTTCTATTCGCTTGTAAAATCTATCTTGTGTATTTATTTGGAAATGTTGCTTTATTTGGCATTTATTTTGTGATATTTTTATAAAATGTTGTCACTTGTTCTTTTGGATCACATTTAACAAAAAACTTCGCTATAAAGATTAGATTGCATTAGAGATCATTTTTGAGTCCTTATTTGTTTGATCTAGTCTTGGATATTTTGATTGAGCATATTTAAGAGAAAATCCTTAAATATAGACTTTTGGCAGATGATATAGTTTTTATTGCAAAGATAAGAAAAGAGATTAATTGTAAACTTGAGTTATGGAGGAGGACATTGGAGTCAAAAATTTTCCACCTGAGTAGGGGTAAAACGGAATATCTACATTGTAATTTTGGTAAGAGGTCAATGAGAAGTAATTTGGAAGTAAAATTAGGTGATTAGATCATACTTCACGTGGAAAAGTTTAGATGTTTGGAAGTCATTGATTATTCAACATAATGGGAAAATTAATGGAGATATTGTACATAGGATACAAATTGGGTGGTTTAATTGGAGAAAGGCTAAATGAGTTCTTTGCAATCGTAAGGTACCTAACAAACTTAAAGAGAAGTTTTATTGAATTGTTATAAGAATAACAATATTATGTAGTAGTGAATGTTGAACTTTAACAGGACAGCAAGGGCATAAAGTTGGAGTAACAGATGTGAGAATGTTGAAATGGATGTGCGGATATACATGTAAAGACAAAATTCGAAATGAGCGAATGCTGGAAAAAGTGGGCGTTGCACCTATTAAAGGAAAACTGATAGAAAATCATTTGAGGTGGTTTGGATATGTATAAAGAAAACTACGGGAGACATCTATGAGAAGAGTGAAATAGATGACTGTGAGCCCTGTCAAAAAAGATAGAGAAAAGGCCAAAGAGAACACTTTTGGTAGTTGTTAAATGAGATATTTTAATTAATAATATTTCTAAATGCTTAACAAATGATAGAGCACAATGACATTATATAATCTATGTAGCCAACTCCACCTAGTGGGATAAGGTTTGTTGTTGTTGAATTAATGTTCTTTTCCATTTTTTCCACTGTTGTGTATTTTCATGTCGATTTGGCTTTGTAGAAAGCATGTGATGTTGGAGAGTAGAACATTGCTATGAACTGGATTCAAATAATTGGTCATACATGAATCTTTTACATTTTAAGTTCTGACCCATCTGGCCATCTCCCATGGTATACAAAAGTATTGTACTAATGGCTTCTCTCTTGCTGTTATACTTGTCATTCATTTCAAGGTAACTATGATACCTACTGGACTGTGCATTCTCACTATTTTTCAGAAAAGGTTAGTTATGAAATCTAAAGTTATATTTTTGTTCATATGTACACACAGGATAATCGGTCTGACATGGATTTGAATGGCAAGACTCATTGTAGGAGGTCTGTCAGACGATTGACTGGTGATGCAAAATTTCTTCTCGACTTCATCATGAATACTTACTTGGGGCCTGATGTCAAGTCTGATGAGCCTAGATGTTCAGCAGCTCAAAGATTAGCAGCAGGTTTGCCGCCATATACTTTGATTGATCTGGGACCTTCATATGTTAGCATTTCTCTTCTGGAGAGATTATATTACCATGTCATGAGAGATGCTCAACCTGACCTAGTGTCAGAGCGGAATTTGTTGCATATGTATCTAAAAGGAAAGTTACCATTGCCTAGTCCTGGGTCAGTAGAGGAGTGTCAGCAGTTCACAAGCTTTTTTCCTTTGAATCTTCATGAACAGATATGGTACCCTGATAGCTTCAGAACTATCAAAGGCGTTGTGTTAATTGTTGAGCCGGCTACGTCATACATGAAAGAGGAGGATATTAAAAGATTCAAATATTTAACTGGTGTAAATAGTTTGAAGATAGATATAAATGCATGTCTGCATACACAACTTGGTTCTCAAGCTAGCAAGGAAGGTGAGCATAATCATGTCAACAAAGATCAGACGGCTATTTCAAATGGGGAATGCCCTCAGTTTCAGCAAAATAACAAGCAGAAGTGTATTAATGATCCTCCACCAATAACTAAATTTACTGGTGTATTTCCTATAGAACGTGATGGTAAGAGAGATTCTTCCAAGAGGGTTTGCAAATCTGATGGACCTGCCTTGATGCCCGTTCTCCCTATTCCAGGCATAGATGATTGTGATATAGATGCTTCTCTTCATTTAACTGGCACTGCCAGAAGAGGATTGTTAGGTCCACCTGTTGGTGTTGTGGATATTGGTATCGGCAAAGTTGCATATCTATTCCGAGTTTCTTTACCTGGGGTGATGAAAGATCATGGTATCTCTCTGTCAATCACCATGTCTTGATCTGTTTCTGATTTTTCCTTCTGTTTTGTTGCATTTCATTTATCTGCTAGAGAGTTCCTTTTCCAAGATTATGATGGATAGAAGATGCTCTTAGTGCATAATACATTATTAATTAGGAGCAATGGTTTTTAAATTTTCAGATCAATATCGGTAGTATGCAGCCTCTGGTTTTGTAGGGCCTCTTTGAAATAATATTTGTTCCATCAATAATGGAACTCTTTTTTCTGGAGAACCTGTAAGTGATTGGGAACCTCTGAATTCTTAGCAACGGCTATAAAGAATACATCTCAGTAAAGGGAAGTCCAGATCAGTTGGTACAAGTAATTTTAATGTTGCTTATTACTATTATCCATTACAACATGCGTGCATTCAATCATGACTTTTTGTGTATGCTGTGGCTAAGACTGTATTCAAGTCATCTTGTTTAAGCAATGGCCATTACGTTCACCGGATCATTACTTTTTGAACATGTGTGCTTCACTGCTTGTTTTTCCAAGAAGATCCATTTGATTGACTCATTCATTTAAATTAACTCAATTTACTTTGCAGCTAGTCAGTTCAGTTGTGAGATTGAATCTGATGGGAAGGTTCATATCCAAGGGTTGTTAACCGGTGGAAGAACTATAAGGAAAAACTCACGTGTTTTCCAGATCAAAATCCGGTCCTTATGCCCTCCTGGACCATTCACCCTCTCTTTCAGTCTTCCTGGACCTGTTGACCCGAGACTTTTGGCACCTAACTTTAGGTCTGACGGCATTTTTGAAGCAGTTGTTATCAAGCAGAAGTAACTGGCCCGAGCTTAGTAGCTGAATTTCGCAACTCCCAAGGAATTCTACAGCTCAGAACTCAGAATTCAGCTTTTTGATATTTTAGGCAGAATCTAGGTTTGACTCTTGCTGCTGTAAAATGATGATGAGTTGACTTCATTCTGTAATTATAAAGGGCCTACGATGATCTAGTCAGTTCTTGATTTCATTTAAGCCAATCTCGTCCCGGAATGATTTTGTCCTTGATTATTCACTGCCTATGCTGCCAAGAAGCCTTCTGGTGGTAATTAATAATCTGTAAGCAAAGTAGCTTAATGATGGAAATTAAAAAAAAAAAATTAACGCTCTTGCCAGTATTTTATGGAAAATTAAGCCTGTACTGTAAATCCTTTGAAGTTGGTATTGGTTTCTTAGATTGAGATTGAAATAGAATGTCGTCGGCAAAAAGAAATACATTGTAACAGAATGCTTCACCATTATAATAAAATGTCTGAAATGAGTCAATGACATCAGTTGCTTACTTGTAAGTATAGTAGAAAAGAAAAAAGCAAAAAAAAAAAAGAAAAAAACGTTCCGAGCTCCTCAAGCTCATCCAACTGGTGTTAAATTCTGCCTCGTGTTTCTTTCTTTATTTATTTATTTTTTTGTAAAATCTAATTGTTTCATAGTATTATTTCTTGATACTTGTCATGTAACATTTTTGTTCCTAGGATCATCACGAACATTTTTTTTATGATTTCAATTTCTTTAATCATTTTTCAAAATTTCAAATTTATTTTTAACTTGCTAAGTTTAAAAATAATTTCTTTTTATAACAATGTTAATTGTATTAAGGATGCCTTTTAACTCATGGTAATTACATTTTTAGTTAATGAATAAAATTAGGAAAAATGATGATAATTTTTTTTTGAATTATATAATAAATAATTTGGTCCTTTAGAATATTATAATTCCATTGAAGTCTCTAATGACTTTTGTGTCAGTAAATTTTAAATTGAAAAAATAATTTTACTTTTGTTAATAAGTTGTGAATCAATTCTTGTAATTTTTTAAATAAAATTATTATTTTTTAAATAAAAGCTGTGATCAAGGTTAATCATTTTGAGAGTTTGGTTTCAATAACAAAAAATATGCTTGACAAGTGATTTATTGTTCAGCTTTTGCGACTTATATAACAAAAGTAATTATTTCTTAAGTAAAAATAGTGATTGAAACTTGTTATTTTGAGATAAAAATTACACTTGATAAGTCTTAATTTCTTGTTCAATTTTTGCGATTCACAAAACAAAGGTTTTTATTCTTTAAACAAAAGTTGTATTTGGAATTTGTTATTTTCAATAAAGATAAATAATCTTTTTACTTTAAAATTTATTGATACAAAATTTTTGGAGACTTTAATAAAATTATAATATTTTGAGAAACTAAATTGTTTTTTATATAATTTGGATGATATTGTTATTTTCCCACAAAGTTATTTTTCATACTTTTTAAATATCTTTTAAGATATATTTTGGGTCCGGGCAAACAGAGCCCAAAACTAAGCAAGCCCAAATTATATATATGGTTGAACATTGAGCTATGTTGAAACCTAATTCATCGTAACTTACATTCAGGCCAGCGCGAATTTACGACTTAGATTTTATTGGTAGTTGTTAGAGACAATGTTCTATTATAATGTTATAGTCTGCTGCGTTTGCTAGTCAAACCACCAAACAATCACTTAGTATAACATGCTTCTATCTGCTTCTCACAATTTATTTTTTTGGGTACTGATAGACTTCCTATGTTGTGTAATAATTGACAAATTTTTAATTATATTTTGAGAGTCATCAATAAAAAAGAGAAGCATTTTCTTGTTTTTATAAAAAAAAAGCCTCATGTAGATCTATTGTAATATTTTTAAGGAAATTTTTTAAAATGATGGAAATTAAAGTTGGTAAATATTCCACACATATTTATTAATTGTTGATAGGTGGGGTATGAAAACATTAAAGCAAGAAAGAGAAAGGAGTAAAAAAAAGGTGATTTTGATTCCAAGATATAAAAGCAAAAATTCCCGCATACGCTAGATGAAAATATAAAAAATGCATAGTTTCATTTTTTGTGAAAAAATACCCTACATAACTCATTTTTTTGGACTATAAGAGCAATCTTTTAGTTGCTGCAACAAAAGAAAATCTTAAGAGAGAAAGAGAGAGAATCTTAAAGCTTGGGATCAAGAAGAAGTAGAGCAAATATTTATTCTACCTCATTTTAAATCAGTGTTTTCTCTTCTTCTTTTTTTTTCTCTATATTGATAGATTCAAACTTTGCTTTGTTGTTACAGTGTTTATATTAGCTATGTATAGCTAAATCTTTTTGTTCTAAAGGATTATGAATCTATTTATGTAAATAACCTTTGATTAACCGTTTATATAATTGTTTTGATTACTTATTCTTGAGCTTTCTTGTTTTTATTTAGTGTTTGGCTACCACTAAGTGAGATTTGGAAACTCAAATTGTTAAACCTTGAAAGAGAAAACTAAAATTAAACTTTAAGAACTAGTAGTTTAGGATTAATTTAGCTAATTTGCCATTAGAACATAAATGTATCTAATAGATTTAGGTAATATTCATGGATTTGGATATCTAATGCAACTAATTAGTTAAGGTAATATTTTGCTTTAATTGAATTAATTAGGATTCTTGGTAATAGCAAGATACTTTGGATTAATTTAAATTCTCAAATTATCAAAACTGAGTTTCAAGACCATTAATATAGTAATGAGAGGGTTAGGAAGCAAATAGAAGATTAGGACTTTAGAATGTTCTTCTCTTGGTTGGCTCTAGCTTGCTTGTGGCTTGAAGGTTATTTTAATGATTATTTTTAATATTTTTATTTTAATTATTCTAAAATCAATCTTAAGTTTTATTAGCTTTACGTGAATGGATTTAAAAATTTAATGCCTAGTCGTCATTTTAATTAAGTCTTTAAGGATTGATCTTGATTTACTGCTAGCTTCAATTATGACTCATATACTTGCAGTGTATTTTAATTTTCGTGGGCATCAGGTAGAAATCTGCTTCTCACAACTGAAGATTCTGACATATAACCTTGTGAACAAAATTGATTTTTGTCCACTCAAATCGACAAACGCATTGCAATATCACATCTGCTGGCGTTGAACAGCGAGGCCTCTAAGAGGGAATGTTACGTGGTATATGAGATTTTTAGGGGACCAAACGTACCCTTGATGTAATAGCTGATGACTAGCTCTTACAAACGATCAAGTCATCAAATTCTTCAATATAGAGTCATGATATTTTATTCAACATCGTCACCGTGTTAGGTTTCGTTTTGAAAATTATTAAAATTGTTTTTCACCTAAACTATGATTTTGTTTATTTTCAAGATAAAATCAGACATGTAATGAGTAGAGCCTTCGATAAAGTTTCATAAAGTATAATATAATGGACGCACTTGTGACATTAGCTTGCTAGATCTCATAAAAGTATAGGATCTACTGATCTCTTGCATCATTTGAAGTCGTTTGATGATGTCCATTTAAATTTAAAGAACATGCTGATAGCATTTTCAAAATAACTGGTATTTTGTTAATTACATTTAGCACTCTTTGATTAGATGCTGAACATGTTTTTCTTGGATAGCAAGCCGTAATCATTTAGAGCATGATATTATTGAGTGGGGTTAGTGGGGCTGGGAAGAGAATAAACAAATGCAAGATGTTAAGAGAAGGAAAGAATGCGATGCCCTTCTTTATGGGGTGGGGATAAAGTTGAAGAATCTCCCAGCACCGTGTCTGCTTAGAAAATATACGAATTTCTCTACTCACTTTTTAACTTATATGATCAACGCAGAAAGATCCTCTAAAGTAGTTAATTGATTAAGCATCGTTTTTATGACTTTAGTATTCTGTAGTTTATGTAAATCGCTTTCAGTTTTTTTTCCCTTAAAAAAAAAAAATAGCCTTACTGCAAATGTTTCCGGTCATCAGTGAAGAAGCCCCACCTACTTTGATTTATTGTTGCAATAGTTCTCTCTAGGTTTAAGAGCGATGAAAAATTTCTTTCTGTATTATATATGATACCAGAACAAGTTTAGTTTTGCACAGATGCAATTGGATCTTGTAGATTTGCGGGCAACAGGGGCAAAACCAAGAATTTTTATTAAGGTGGGCCAGGATAACAAAATATATATGATAATTAAAGAAAAGTTAAAATTATATATATTACCAACATAAGATAAATGTTTCAACATATATATTTATATTCAATTTTACATGTATAAAACAAACAAATATATATATATATATATATATAATTTTTAAGTTTCACTTATTAATTTTTCATGACATAAAAATCATTAGTTATTATGTCTATGATAAATGTTGTAATAATTTCATTCTCAATATAAATTATCATTAAATTAATGAAAATTTTGTCTTCCCTATAAGCATTAAATAATTTAAATGTATAATTGAAATTTAAAGTGTTATTCAATGTAATAAGCTTTATTACTTGCTTATTAAATTTATTATTTAATTCTTTTAATTGATAAATGATAATTGTTGTAAATAAATATATTAATACAACAATGATGCTCCATTATCACAAAATCTTTATATTGATGAAATCGAATTATATCAAGTAAAAACCATTATTATAGCTTGATTATAAAAAAAAAGTAATTTTTTTTAATGAAAACACCTAAACCATAACCTTTTAACTTTTGAATAGGTGATTTTATAATAGATATCAACTACATAACATTTAATATATTTTGAGATTTTTGAAAGTTTGCTAATAATAATTTTCATAATTTCTTTGATTAAATATTAAATGAAAGTAAAATAAAATAAAATCAATACTTTAGAGTATGTATAATATTTTTTTATTGAAAATAAGTAGTTCTATGATAATTATATTTTCAAGCTGCTAAAACAGTTGCACTATACATACCGTAAAAGACTATATAAAAAGTGAAATAAAAATTTCATCTATTGTCTCAAAATGTCTATAATGTGCCAACTTAGGAGGTCAAAAATATATAATCACTATATTTTATTAAGAAAAAATTAAAAAGTTAGGAGAGTCATGACCCTTGCCGGTCTCCCTCTTTTTTCACCCCTGATGGGCAAGGTATGCTTTGTGAAACATTGTTTTTAGTTGTTTTGGCCTTGGGGAATTAACAAAATGTCAATGCACTGAAGATTTTCACACTTTGTAATGGATCTTCCATTGAAAAGCTTCTCAAATTAAAACGAGATTTACAAGTATGAGAGGGTTTTCTTTTTAATAGACTAGTTTTTTTTGAATTGGTTAGCTACCTACTCATGAAGGGTTTTAATAAACTAATCTTTTGGATGGATTCTCCTTTTGAGTTTATACTCATAACACACTTCAATTTCTAAATTCATGGGCTGCATGTTTCTCTTGCTGTCTTTCTTTTTTTTTTTTTATTCTAGTATCATGGGAAACATGGGTATTACCATCACACCTAGACTAATCCAAACAGCTATTATGTGTGACTGTAGTTACTAACAGTGGTTTCATGGATATATCTTTGACTTATTTATTAAATATGACTGCATATTTAGAACTCAAATTATAGAATTAAGATAAACTAATTCAATTCTCTTGATTTGTCATGATCATCATGGGTTTTTCATACTGCTCATTCTTTTCGTTGGTTGTGCATAAATATTTGCTTTGCGGATATTTACATGCCATTATTAATTTGAAGCTCGCACCAAGTACTGCCAAGTAACTTGCAAAAAGCAGATTTAATTAATTCACAGCAGAAAAGGAAAGTCATGAACGAAGTGGTGGGGCCACTTGACATGCATATAAATGGTGCAATTTCAGGATTTACAAAAGAAACTCCATATGGAATATACCAAGAGATTAAAGTATAGCTAAAATGTTACAGACCACTTCATCCATATATAATAATCATACCTAGAACGTCGATCACTACACAGACTTTTCAACAGAGTTTATTTTGGTAGGAGGAATATATATATATATATATATATATTTGTGGGTTGTGTGAACGTAGTGATCTTCTGTGAAGGGTCAGGCAAATTTATAAGGTTGAATGAGCTGGGTGAGGGTTCCGCTGAGGTGGAGGGACATGACTTGGTTAGTGGAGCCCACGAAAATGCCTCCGATGAAAACGGCAGGCACAGGAGTGGAACAGCCCAGACTCACGAGAGCTTTCTCCATTTCTCTGCCTTCAGGGTCTTGGTCAATTTCGTACACCTTAGGCTTCACCATCAGTTCCTGAAACAGAACTTTCACTGAGTAGCACAAGCAGCATGAGCTCTTGCTGAATATCACCACGTCTTTTTCCGACGCCAACCTCGTCACCTTCTCCATATTTTTACAATGATATTCCGTTTCCCCGAAGAATTTTAACCTCGAAAATGGAAACCTAGGTGTGTACGTTGATGAGAGCTGGTTATGTATCTTTGGACTTGTTACAAACCCAAAACCACCAGACCGAATCGATCTAAGCCGAAGTCGATCGGTCACTGGTTGAGTTGGGTCAGGATTTGAATGCCTATAAGGAGGAGCTTGGGGTCTAAGATTATTATAGGGACAACTTAAGGATCTTTGAATGGAGAACATATGAAAAGCTGAGCTTTTGTGATTGAGATGCCCGAGTATAAAGCAGACCCTTTGAGATCAGCACTGATATGAATCTGATTGACTCGACGAGTTGGAATTTGGAAGAGACGCTTGATTTACACAGATTGGTAGACGTAGGGTATGAAGATTTTGTTTACGCGGACTGATCAAAACAGTATCTTCCTATTAGCGAGTTGGTTAATCAGAGTTATACTTTATGGGAGACGTGTACTGCGTATTCACCGATGCTGGCTCTCTCTGGCAATGGCAAGGAAAGTGGAATTCTAGGCCAGTTGGTCAAACAGATTCTCACTATATATCAACTGCTTTGAATATGAAACGATTGTGACTGAGATGTTTAATTTACAGTGCGCGTGCGTGATTCGTTGGTGTTGCACTCAACAACTTGCCTGATTCCTTCTCTCCCACAAGCATGTTGTGGGACTCTTGTGAAGATGATGCAGCAAAACATACAGTGTTCTCGCACTTAATTACTGTAGATGACCTTACACGTGTATGACTTGTAGTGGAAGGTCTCTTGTTTCTATTTTGGTGAAAGTGAAGGTTAGAGACTACAAAGTCCTTTTTGCTTTAGAACAGGAGGGGAATGAATTCCCTTACTAACACGATCCCTCAAATTAAAGAATTGAAGCATTTTTATCCCTATCCCTGATCATCTTGTACATGAATATTTCTTGCAACACGCTGAAATACTGATATATACTTCGATGGAAGAAAAACGGGTTAGATATTGCTTCAGACCGATATATATATGTGTGTGTGAGTGTGTGGCCTATGTGTGAACATACAAATATTATTTCGAAACATATATGATTCTCACTATCCTTGCTTGTTATGTATACACTATTCTGTGTGACTGCATGCAAGATATATAACGTATATGCACAAGGATCATCCATGGCTGTGCATGTCTTACCTGCACGTAGTTGCTAGAGTTCGAAGAATCTCACGTAGCAGTATAATTATCATTGGCCCTTTCTTTCATACTTCTGTAAAAAGAAATGTATAAGTGGAATTTATATTGTTTTTTCACTGAAACCTGTAAAACATTGAGTTTATAGCTTTAATAACTTCCTTTTAAGTCCCATTTTAATCTAAGCTAATATTGTTTTCCCCATCCTTAATAATAATCCACGCTTTCGGTATTCGATAATTTAATTTATAAAACGATGCCCTGTATATCTATATGTAGTGTAAAAGGTAAAGAAGTCAAACAGGAAACGTGTCATTGGGTTTCATGGGTGTGGAAGAATAAGCATGGAGACACAACAACAAAAGTTCTAGCATCACCTCTTTTCTTGCTACGAATTACAAGACCATCCCTTGCACCAGATGCCCCAATTAAGAAATGAAGAACCGCATCTACTTTCTCTTTACTACTCACTTAAATAATAATATTTTTTTATGTTTTCCGTAGATTGGATAGATTTTGATGACGCAGTAAGATTCCTTTATAATTATGATCATCAATGGTGATTTTATTAGGACTAGTTGTTCTCTAATAATTGCGCGGGCATATTGAACAATGAAGTCGGATAAAAGTGTGTCAATGAAGCATGTTTTTAAATTAAATTAAAGGTCTTAGTATAACTAACTAAAGATGAATCTTATGACTTCAAAGTTGCGTTATCAACCATGTCATCATTCAAAGCTCTCTTCTCAGCACGAGATCGAGATCAGTTAGTAATTAACTAAAGAGCAGCCATCCCTCACAGTCAGACTTGCAGATCGAAAAATATACCAAAAAAGAAAAAGCAGTGTTTTGTATCGGTTTGTATCTTGTCGTTGCATACAATCAAAACGGGGACACTCGAGAAAAAGCAAGAGTGTCTCTAGTAACATTGACTCTAGAACATGCATACGAGACAGCTCGTGGCTATATATTTATACTTGCAGACCCATATATATATATATATATATCAGTAGTAGTAGTATATACGTGAAGCTGCTTCTTTATGTATAGTTGTTAGGAGTGTAAGTAGGTAGCTAAAACCATATGTGCCTTAGCATCAATGAGCATTGCTTGAGAGTGCCATCAACATGAAGGGAAATGATATCTCTTGCAGAACCCACGAACTTGCCACCTATGAACAGGCAGGGACTGAAGGGTTTACAACCAGAGCCCTCAAAGCGAGTTCCATTTCCCTCCCATACGCGTGTTTGTCAAGCTCATTGCACTGCAGGGCTTGCCCCTAGCTCGTAAAACAGCTGCTTAATGCTGTGGCTCATGTAACACGAGCTCTGGTGAATATCACTGCCGCTTTCTTTGATGCCAAATCCTTCACTCTATCCATACCTGCTCAGCTATCTGCTTCAGCTGGTTTCTATAGATTTCCACAGAATGAACTCGATTGGTGATGGTGTTCGATGTGTTGGACTTCAACATGGGTATGTCCCCTTTTATAGGGGTTGTGAGGAAGTGGATAGCATTAAGCAATGGTTAAATAGATCGGCTTGGGAAGAGAGAAGAAAAGTAGCTTTCGGATGTTTGTTTGTCAGGGTGGGGAAATGGGGAATGCTCTTGGAGAATTAGCCCACGGTGACCCCAGGAATGAGCAAGTTGATGCTTAGCATCAGACTTTAATTTACTGTGCATGATAATTGAAATGTTCTTGAGGGTGGCAGTAGCTTAGGGAGAGATCAATGCTGGAATATCGAACAACGTATATATTATTGTTTTAGGGACGGGAACCAAAAAAAAAAACACTCTCTTTCGGCCAAGTTCGAAGCATCAAAGCACACACATAGCTTATTCTATGTCACATGAATGTGTTAATGTTTCAATGCTGCTGCGTTGTCAACAAAATCTGCCAGTGAGATCGAGTGGAATCCAACAAAATATCCAATAGATGATAATTATAGATGGCCAAAGTCAGAGGCCTAGAAGAAGAGGGAGAGAACGTTAATATATAGACAAAGTCCAGTCTCTCAATTGCTGCTGCATGTATCTCGCTCTCGTAGATTGAGCTGCCCACCATATCTCATCAAAAGGAAAGGAGCCAGAACAATTAAAACAACGAGAATCTATCAAGACGCTAATGTGGTTTAACATTTATTATTGAGAGATAACTGATGATCTTTCAATATAATTGATGAACTTGCTA